TTTTGAAAAGAGTCAAGGGAAATATAGTTTCAAAGCTTGCATCAATAAATGAAAAAAAAATCCACACAACCTTTACAAAGAACATTATTTTTCCTATCAGGTAATACATGTAGATCAATTTACATGTGAATTTGATTATCAGAAGAGATTGAAGTGTGACATATATTTTGCAACTATGTACGATGAGAGAGCCTAACTAAAACAGAGTGGGATGGGAGCAGCATCTATGACTGGCCTTGGTTGGGAAGGGTCTGGGAGAAAGTAGACAGCAAAAGCAGACTGGAAAGGGGGGACTCCATTAGAGGACAGCGTGTGTCATCTTCAGCTACCCAGAGAGCACTCTTCACCTGAACTTGAGTGACTAACACTTCAAAAATAAGCTATTTTGAAGGTTTCCCAACTCACCTGATTTTTCTATATGTCCAGTTATAATCTGACCCATTCATTATGCCATTCCCCCCAAAATATACTGAACACCTGTTGTGGCTCACAGTGCACTGAAGGTTGAGAGTAGACTAGGAAAAGAACATGGTGGTTTCTAGTGGAATACCGAGGTGGTTTTACTTTGTATGTATGATTACAATATGATGGAAGCTACAGTAGGACCTGGGATTTAGCTGTGGTTCTGCTGCCTGCCTCGCAAGTGCAAGGTCCAGAGTTTGATCCCTGATACAAAAAAAATAAATAAATAAAGCTAGACTGGGCGAAGAGCTTAGATTCTGCTGCAAGCCAACCTGAGTTGGAAGCCTAGTTTTTCTACTTTCCATCTATATTCATATTGGGAAGTTATTATGAAATACTCCTGTAATAATATACATAAAGCTCTTAGTGGTGTCTGACTAGAATTACTCCTCTTGTTATAAAGGTGGGTGCAGCATGTGGTGGGAGTACACGAAAAAGGTGCTCAATGCAGAAGGCTCTAGGAGGTTTAGTGGAGATGAGATTTAAATGGAGTCTTGAAGTAGTTTAGTGGGACTTACACAGGTAAGCAATGCTGAAAAGTGTCCCATACTATGGGAAAATGTATGCAAACACATAGGAAATAAAGTCTCTGAGAGACTGAATCATTTGGAGAGGTCAATGAGTAGACTCTAGATCATGTTCGGAAGCTTATAATTTATCCTAAAAGCCATCTCGAATGTTTCCATCTTTAAGCATGTTGGTCATCTCAGCCTATGCTTTTTTAAAATCCTCTTTCTGCCACCACCCATTTTTTCTTCATGTCTCTTCAGTTCTGTACTTTGGATACAAAATAATTTTTGAAACAGTCCTGTTTAACTGGGTCACCTCCATGCACACTAATAAGTATCTTATTCCCTGTTATTATTCAGGGAGTAAAATAAATACAATGTTAAATATTTTGGCTTTTCCCATCTAATGTCCATCCATACATATTCCAACTTTCCTCTCTGTCGTTAGCACATCATTTAGTCATGCTCATGTTTGTCATGCCAGTCTCCCCTTCTCTTCACAGGTTTCATCCATCCTCATGTCTCACTTGGCTCCGGCAGTGTCCTCTTTGGAATTTTATTTACATATTTACTATTATTATGGTCGTCCTTGTAATTGTTATTTGGAACAGGGTCTCGCTATGTAGCCCAGGCTGCCCTCAACTCCAACTTGGTTGAGATTCTCCAGCCTCCAAGTTGCTGGGATTACAGGTGTGGGCCACCATGCCTGGCCTCTGTGGAATTTTAATCTCCTCAGATCAAGTTCAATTACTTCTTAAAGAACAGTCTTCATTTTGCCCATCATAAGGACAAAAGTTTTGCTTGACCAAGCCCCATACAATGTTGATAAGCTTCTGACACTACAATTATAGTAGTACTTTAGAGTCATTTAAATAATTTTTGTTTTGTTTTTGAGTCGGGGGTCTCCTTGTGTAGTTCAGGTTGGCCTTGCACTCACTATGTAGCCCAAGCTGTCCTCGAACTCATTTTACTCCTCCTGTTCCAGCCTCCCAAGTGCTAGGATTACAGGCATGCACTTTCATGCCCAGATAGACATTTGCTTAATTCTTGACTGCTGTTTTTTGTCTTTTTTTCTTTTTCTTTTTTTTGTACCAGGGATCGAACTTGTGTCTTTGTGCTTGCAAGGCAGGAGGCAAAACCATGTTTTTTGTTTTTATATATATCAATCATGCCTTTCTTATGAGCAGGTATTTGATACCTAGATATCTTACTTTCTAATTCAAGTATATCTGCAGTATCTATGTAATAAGCAGTCCAATCAATGCTTATTAGATAAATGCATGTAAAGAATATCTCATATTATCACCTCTTTAATATCAATATTTTTATATGAAAGTTTCATAGCTTTTAAAAAAATTGTTTACTTTTTCACTGCAAGTAGATGTGCAAGAGACAATATCATGGCTAATATTTACTTATATAGTTCACATGAACACGTAGATAATTTTTAAAATATCAGAATTCCTTCATTTGAAAGGCTTTTAAATTGAGCTTCCATTATAAAACATAGGAAATGCCATAGAAGAATCTAGAACATAAAGTAAATTCCAGAGTATCACAATTTAGAAGGGATCCATCATTTATTCATTTTGTGTTATGTGTCAGTCATGATAATGTTACTAACTTCAGATAAATTATAATTTATTATACATTTTTAATACTTCTCCCCCCAAAAAGTGAATGTAAGTATCGGCTAACTCATAGTCATTGTTACTGGGGCTCCATCCAAAAATCATACATTCCAGTGGTGACTTTGGGATTGGAATCCAAGTGAATCTGATCTTATAGTCAAACCGCTTTGAGAAGTTGAACAGATTTTCTTAGTGGAAAAAATAGCATTTAAAAATGGGTTAAAAACTTGATGGTTTTTGACAAGTTACTTAAACTTTCTTTTTTGTTTTGTTTTGTGTTTTGTTTATTTTTTGTTTTTTGAGACAGGGTCTCACTATGTACTTGAGACTGACCTGAACTCACTATGTAGCCTAGGCTGGTCTCAAACTCACAGTGCTCCTCCTGCCTCAGCCTCCCTAGTGCTGGGATTACAGGCGTGTGCCACCACGCCTGACTCTAAACTTTCTTGTCTTACTTTTTCATTATTCCAAGTTTGTCCTAATAGTCTCTAATGGTCTTTATGACTAAATTCTTGTTTAAAGTTGTATTTATATTTTTTTCTAACCTCACATGTTTAAAAGTTTCATGGCACAGAGTCAAATGGAAAATCTGTGCAGATCAATGGGTTAAACATTAGCTATGAATAAACAGAGGTTAGATTATAGTAGGGATATGATTAGAAGGGCACAAGGGCTTATCAACTTTTTGTTCACATATCTTTGGAGTATTTGACAAAGCAACATAGCCCTTATCTTTTTAATGAATTAAATCTATTAAATAGGTGGAAAACTTTTAGTGTTGAGTTAACCAAGTTCATACAATCAGCAACTCTTTTCTTTATTAAATACTGATTACTAAGTAATATAAATCTCAGTGTTTCCACAACACTTTTCTTGCTTTCTACTGTATATAGACATGCTAGGAAAGAGTGACAGAAATTCTAGACATGGCTCTATGAACCATGATGTGTTGAGTACTTATATTTATTTTCATTAAAATGAAAGTGCATATCGATTTTCAACAAAGTAAAAGTAGTTAATATTAAATAATATCAAGAATTTTAGAGATCATAAAGTTATTAGTAAACACATAATAGTATCCTCTTAACTACTATTTACTGGAAATAATGCTATTGGTACTCACCCTTCTAGCTTTTTACTTCCAATATTGTGCAACAAAATTTTATAGTACATAAAGGAGAAAAGTCTAGAATAGCACTTAGATCTAAGAAAGTTGATATAGTAGATACAATTCAAATTTCCATGCTATATGGAATCTAGTTAATATGAATAGATATTCATGGGTAAATCAGAACTGGTTCGAACCCAGAGCCAGGATGAAATGAATTCAATGAAATGCCAGTACACGGTATTCTAGCGATCACCAGTTAAAATCTTTTTTTCCTTATACTGACATCTGGCACTTTCTGACTCTTTTGGAAAGAAAAACTGAATCATTGCTAATAACTGAACATTCTTCTTTCAAATGTGGACAGTCACACTGAAACCTAGCTATATTTTATTTTTATTTATATGATGCTGAGCGCCTTGTCACAAAACTTGGTCAAATGAAATGAAAACATCAAGCCATCAGTACGACATCTCTCAAGCCCAAACTGCCATCACAACTAAAGAGGATATTTTGATTTATTAATTCATGCCCTCAGGATTCATAACTGGTTTGTAGGGCAATTCTAATTAAAAGTAGCCATTGGAGAGAAGAGGATCCAAGGACACATAAAAATGAATGCCAAGTTACTTGAAAGTAAGAATAATAATACAAAAACCTAAACAATACCACACAGGTTGGAAAAAATGAGTATCTTTTAACGGAATTTAGTAAAATCTTCACTCAGTTCTTTGTGAAACCATCTAATTAAAAAGCCAGATGAGCAGAGAGTAGAATAGAGACTCTACTATATAAGTAGGTCCAGTGTTTTTCCTACTGTGAAAGTCATAGTTCAGGAGTGTCTCTATAGTACTTATATTTTTGCACACTACATAAATACTGCAAAACTTCAGTTAAATGGCTCCAAATACAGTGTAACAGCCACAAACAATATAAAACTAACAAAAATTGAAAACTAATTTAATAGACCTAGAACCTATTAGTGAAAATGTTTTCCACTACAAATATTTTATAATATCACAAAAGAAATATTTAAGAGCAAAAAATGAAAGGCATTAATAATGTCCAAAATATTTCTGAAGGAAGAAAGTTATTGTGAAACTCTACAAAAACTAACCAACAAACCAACTGGCCATTTATGAACCATGGTGCTACTTATACTAGCTAGAATCATACTGTAAATTGAAGAAAAATGTTAAAAATATATTTCCAACATTGACTTTAATGCAGCAATACTAAGCATGTGATGTGGAAAATTAATATTCAATAAATATGGAGGGTAACTCATACCTTAAATTCCTCCAAGATTTTGTAATTTTTCCCATGATATTCACAAAAGTTTTTCACTTCTTTGCACTCAGGACAGCATCCATTGTGTTCCACTTTAGTACACTTTGGGTGAATTTTTGGGCATTCTGGCTGGTCACAAACAGGTCCATCTAGAGCACAGACACAGGGACAGTTGGAATGCCCAGGGAAAAACCGTTCTCCCAACTTGTATACAAAGCCGCTGTCATCCACACACCCTTTCCCTCGATAGTCATCAAAGATCAGATTGTCATTACTGGAGGTCTGGTCACCTTCATCAGCAGGATAGTCTTCATGACTGATGGCAGCAGAGGTGACCAATCCAGGGATGACCAATAGAAGTATGCAAGCTTCATGAATATGAAGAGCCATCCCCCTCCTCAAAGGCTTCTAGATGTGCTCCTAATATTACATATACTCAGCTCCTTCCATGGGAATACAAGAAGGGTAGGCTGAAAATAAATATTTAAAGAAACAGTTTGACATATACAAAGAGAATATAGATTCACTTAAACCCAGGCTGTTAAATTATTTGGGTTCAATTTGGAAGCTACTAAGACAATAAATAGACTAAATTCATGCAACTCTCTATATTTTATTGTGAAATTTGGCGAATAGATTTTTGTCAATATATGCATTAAAGTTTGTCCATTATGGAGTCATTTTACATAGGAACCTCCAGCTTTATATTTTGAATTTGAAAGATCTTATTCTGTTTAAATTCTAATGTGATTTTTCCTGAGTCTTAAAAGGTGAATACAAGTCATTACTGACAAAGAGTTCATTAATATTTGGATTCATATACTTTATTTTTCTTTAAAATAGAATAGTTAGTGATGACTATGTTATCATTATTTGTATCAAAAGTCAAGAGATAGTGAAAAATTCAATTCTAAAAGAAAGGGAATAAATCATCATTTCATTGTAGATTCTAAATGAGAAGCAGCCAGTATAAGATCTTTCCTCCTTATTTGTGCCTATAATTGGAGAAAAACAATGGTCTCAACATGAATGACTTGTTTCTGTCAACAAGGATCTGGAGCTTGGAACATAACAAGTAATAAAGAGCATAGATATTCCATAGTGAAGAAGGGAAGCAATATTTAAAATGATAAATAATGCAAAAATTATTCTATTAAAAGGATTTATCAAAATCAATAAAGAAAATTATTTTTCTTGTTGTGCTTATCTTTATTTTACTTAGGAGGTAAGCTCCTAGTGGGCAGGAAGGATATATCATGAATATTTTTTAATAGCAACTAGAGTCTAGTGCTCATGTATTATTCTTTGAACTAGTTATTTCCATATAATTTAAATACTATTTCCACAATTTTGGTAACATGACTTTTGATATAGCAAAAATATCTTCAGGAAATTTGTGCAAAGATTTCATTATAAAACTGTTCATGGGAGTTCCTCAAATTAGCGATAAGGTATTGTCATTCATAGAAAACATGCCTTATTAGTAGGATTACATTGATTCCTATAACTTTTCTTGCTATTAGTACTTGGTGTGAACTGTTAGTAGTGGGCTCTTTTTTAAATGTTTAGAGTAAGCCACACAGAGGCTCTGGGGAAACTGGGACTTCAGGGAGTAGTAGATAAGAAAAAGTGTTGTAAAATATTTCATCTGCTTGTTTAAGTATTATCAGCTTTGTGCCAATGTCACTAAAAGGATATTTTCAGATATGTAAGTGTCATTCATTCGTTTATTTTCAAATTACATTAAGAGCAATGATAAACTATATTATTTTAGTCTAATATATACAGATGATCACTTTAAACAAGATGAAGATGCCATTAGAAAACTTCATAAACTATTACAATTGCATTTTAAATTGGAAATGCAAATTCTAGTAACTGTAAAATGGATGGTAGTATATTCATGTCCTCTTTTCAGAGAACTATGATACTAGAATTCCTCTCATATTCTCTGATGTTAGAATTCCTTTTGGGTAGGTAATGATAAAGGAGATGGATTTCTCTTCAAATATGTCAAAAATAATGAGTCATGACAGAACAAGAAAATGTAAACCTATAATTCTCCTTGAGAAGCTGGAAGCTCCCTTTGACAAAGCATTTTTTCCCTCTTAAATTACTACAGAGGCCACAAACATAATAGAAGCTTCTGAAAAAGCATAGATATATTTTCCTGATTAAAGTATGCATACATACACTTCTTACATATTTAGAAAGTTTATCTTGGAAGAAAAGGAAGCTAGTGTGCATCCTCATAATATTCCAGTAGTATCTGTCAGTGCATGCAAGATAAACCATACCAAATACACATATGATTCTGCTTCAAAGGACACAGACAGAAAATGATCTCTTTGTAAGCCACAGGTAGGCATTAATGTGTAGGTTATGATAAAGGTAAACTTAAAGGTAAAAATAGAGGTGTAATACCCACTTTACATAAAAATTAAACATGCTTGTATTATATGAAATACATTTTAAAGTGCACATGAAGGAAACAAGAATTTCCTTTTAGCATAATAAAGTTCTTAGGCTATTTTTTTATAAAGCTTTCTTCATGACTGAGCTGCTGGATTGCAATTTAAGATACTGTTTTAGAAAATAAATAGAAATCAAATAATATTTTATCTGAAGATTTTTAACACTGCTAAACTGAAGCTCACTTCCTGGCTAAACTTTGCCCCCTCCCAATATTACTACGTATAATTTAAAATGACTGCATCTATTTCTTTGAGAAAACAAACAACTCATATCAAAAGATATACTTACCTAATCACTCTGGAGGTTAATGGTGCTGGAGGTGGGGTCACAGTCCAATAGGAACTAAAAGGTCAGGTGTGTTTTAGAAAAGCAGTTCCTCTTTAATCACCCAAAGAATACATGTTCAGGCATGAATTAAAGGCAGTCCATTCTCTCTACCTCCCATTTCAAAACACAGTCAAGAAGCAGTCTCCTACCCTCCCAGAGAGGAACACAGCAGACACACATAAGAAATATGCTTTGGACCTGTCTTCGGAATTCAACGCAAGAAGCAATTCTGGTCCTGTAGAAATCCAGACCCCAGTAGCAGAATCATATTGAACTTATTTTTAGAATTTTCTTAGATCCTTCTACGAAATTTCCTGGCTGGTTTCACCTCCTCCACACATGAGTTCACTTACGCGATGTTTGCTACGGCAGTAGAGGTGATTTGGCTGGGATCAGAGAATCACAAACAGCGACAGCACACGGTAGCCTAAAGCCCGCTCCGCCGGCAGTACCATCAGCATGGTCCACGGTACGTTGCTTGAATCCCTTCTCACACACGAGAAAATGCTAACCGCGGAGATGAAGCAGAGGAGCAACTTTAGCTGGGATTCTGCCTCTCTGGGAGCAGTTTGCAGACTGCTGATGTGTAGCTCATTCTGCCGGCAGCTGGGAATTCCTGAGCACCACGGACAGCGCCAACAACTGGCTTCGGAGCCCAGCCTGGTCGAAATCCCCTCACTGCTTTAGTCCAGGCTAGAGTGTTCTCCAGACAGTCGCGCTTTACACAGCAGAAGCGTGCATTAGGAGAGGAGAAGCATTCTACGCGAGAGACACTTATTTGCATTGAAATTACAATCAGAAATTTAAAAATTGTAATTATAACTAATGCATTTTTGGATGGGCTGCAGAGATGAAAGTTCCGGAAGAGACTTGAATTTAGATTTAAACCATCTGCAGTCCTTTATTATTATTAGTAGATAAAGCATAATCATTGTCAAAGAACCTGTGAAGATGTATGCTAGCTGATTCTGTCTGTCCCTTTGGTGGCAGAAAGACTTTCTCTGTGCTACATGATTAAACTTCAGGTCTCCTACAGATTGGATTTGATTCAAAGAAAAAAAAAAAGTAGCCGCGTTTTCCTGCAGTTTGTTCTCTAACATTAAAAATCAATCTCCTGTAATTCATCTAGTCTGTCATTAGGCGTCATTGTAAAGCTGTTTCTTCCAAACCCTTAGCAAAGATGCTGTCTCTAAATTCGTATCAAAATGAGAAAGAAAAAAGACCCAGACACAAATAAAAGGAAAAAAAGTTATTATTTTTTTATTGGTAACAGTATGAACACTCAAATGTATGTCCTAAACACGTTTTAAAAGCAAACTGTAAGTGTTACTGACTGTCATGTTTAGCCAATTATTCGCTGGTTTGGAACTGCACGATGTATTTAAAGGGAAAGCCCTCCGCAGTGGCATACGTTGCTGACTGATGGTCAAGACCACATTCGAATTGTGCCGTCAGCGCCTCCGGAAAACAGACTCTCTCCATCGTGAGAAAACACCACAGTGTGTGCCTCGCTTTGGTGGCCCATCAATATGTGAATCTTCCCTGATTTAAGATCTAGCAAGTGAATCACACCAGTGCCACTCGCTTGAGCTAAAACTCGACCTGAGAGAGAGAGAGAGAGAGAGAGAGAGAGAGAGAGGGAGAGAGAGAGAGAGAGAGAGAGGGAGTATAAAGTTTTATTTCGGCCATAGTTTATAAGCAATATAAACAGTGTTTGGTTTCACTTGTGATCTAGCATCCTCATTTTATGTTAGATGTTAGTCGTTAAACACATTAAATAGGAACTAGTTCATTCCTGTTCATATGAAAATAATTTGAGTCAAGATCAACAAACATCATTGATTAGATTTTAAAAGTTTAGAATGGGAAAATAAAGTCTGATGTTCTACATATTTTTTATCCAGAGATCATCAAATGCCTTACGATTTTACTTATATTGATGATTAATAAATAACAAATTGAAAGAAACAAAGCAAGGACATTTCTTCTTCAAATGAATATGTAAAACGTTTCAAAAGGCATACTTGAAAAAATTCACCTATAAAAAAATCTACCTTTATAGATATCAGTCATGCATAATTTATATTTTTAAATTTGTGTTCTTCTTTAAACTTGTTTATCAATGGTAAATCATTGCTTAAAATTCTAGTAATATAAAATAAGTTTGCTGTAAACATGATAATACTCATGGGTTCAAATTTTCTTTGGAGTTGCAGAAATAAAATATCCCCATTTCAAAATTATTTTTTAAAAACTGGTCTCATTTTGTAGTTCAGGCTGGGCTTTAACTCATTAATTATCCTAGGCTGGCCTCAAACTCGTGGCATTGCTTTTGCCTCAGCTTCCCAAATGCTGGGATTACAAGCATGTGCAACTGTGCCTGGCATGGTGAAGTTTTTTTTTTTTTACTCTAATTTAAAGTTCAAAATGCTATTAAACTATTTTTTTGTTACATAAGATAGGCAAATATAGTGTAGAGTGTTCTAATAATTTTCTTACCCTTTATTATCTTAGTGAATTATTTCTTCAAAGAGAAAGCAACTTAAAACTTCAATTTAATTCATAATTTTTATTTTAAAAGTACAGTAATAAACCATCAGAAGACTCCGAGACAAATAAAAGCAATAGAATGTTTATATAACATCAGTACTTAAGGTAGGTAACTGTAACATTATTGCTGTTCATTGGATTATCTAATCACACTTAGAAAGCATATTATCATCCAGTGTTTAACATTCATTAAACTCTTTCAGCATATTAGATGCTGTACATAGTAGCTGATATGAATAATACTAACTCCATTCTGCAGGTGAAGAAAGAGAGGTTTGGGAAGACTAATAACTTAATCACAATGACATTTTATGTACAGAAGGAGGTAATCATAATCACTTCAAATCCATAGCATGAATTTTAGCCATTATGTTTTCCACATTTGGTTATAGCATTGCTACCCATGATGTCTTCTCAAACACCTTAGATACGGGATATAGCATAGAAAATAGGATCTGTCCATTTCACAATAAGATTTTGAGAATTGTATCAACATAAAAGCCGCAGTAAAATATCACAAATGATACTCCAAATCATCATGAATATCTCTGAAACTGAGAGAAGTTTTAAAAGTAAAGCTAACCATGATAAATATGGTCTATATGCAAACCTTATAACTACTGGGCTCCTTCATCTAGAACAAAGCCTGACACAGCAAAAATCCTTAGGATGGATTAGAGTGTCCAAAGCAGCAGATGTGAATATTTATTATAAACCTCCTTCTACAAAGTCTGCAGACAGAGGCATTACATATAGATTTCACTTCCAGCCTCACAGCATAGGCAGTTGACTTACCTAAGAATCAAGCAAATAACTGTTTTTTATAGTCCTACAATAGCTATAAAAGGATCAGTTTATTATTATTGTCGTTGTTGCTGCTCCTGTTATCAATCTAAACAAAACCAAACACAACCAAAGTACTTAAACAAAAAGAAAATGATTTAGCTTTACATTATTGGTGTTTTTCTTTGCTGAATTCAAATCTGTAAAATATCATACATATAAAGAGTTATGAAGGCTCTTGATAAATTCTGAAATTTTTTTCAATACAACAGAAAAAAATGATTTTTTGTTGGAACCCAGTGAAAGGATTATATAATTTAACAGCACTACGCTGGTGTTTGAAAAACTTGTCTTTGCTAGAACATATTTAAGTATGCAAGTATATACTGAGGGTTTCAGGTTTACCTAAAGTCATTTTCAGATTTTCTGAAGATTACATGTATATCATAATTAATGTCTAAAATATGTATAAAGTTATAGTCATGTCAAACTTTACTTAAAGTATATTAGGTAATTGCACAACATGTAATGTCTGACTTAAAGATTTGTTTACATGGAGATGGGGATGCTGACCTCTTTTTTAAGTGAGATTTTTCAAAATTATATACCAGAATGTGCATTAATATGTGGTTGGTATTAAAGAGATGGACCACACTGAAAAACAAAATCAATGTGATCATGGTAGCATCTCCACAAAGTGGTGTATTAATGGAATGCATATGGGTATTTTTCTAAATATCTTGGTGATTGGCAATGGAAAACAAACCACAATACAAACCATTTGTCACCTGAATGTTAGGGTTCTAATGATAAATTTAAGAATGGAAGATTTATTCATATAAGACCTTGGTCAATAGAATGGAAATACAGTAGAAATAAAATCTTAAGTAGTGCCAGTAGAGCTTATGCGAAACATGCACTAATCCTGTTAATGTTAAAAAAAATGTTCATGTTAAAGAAAATATGCCACTTGAGAAATATGAAATAGTAAAAACAGGTGATAATTATATTTATTTCTACTTTAAATATTTTACTACATGTTAGAAAAAATATGACAAAAAATGTCCTATGACATGAAATTCATGAATAATAAAGTAGGTAAAATGTTCTTTAGCACAAGTTTTTTTTAATTAATTGAGTTTATTGGTACATTTAAGGTACACAGTACAATTACATTCATTATTGGGATCTTGGACCTTTATATGACAGGTCTTGGTTCTCATTTTTTTTCCCTTGTCCCTGCCCTCCCTTCACCCACTCCTCCACTCCCCATTTATAAACACTTTATTTCCATTTTTTCATTTTGTCATATTTTTTTCTTTTGCCTTATTACCTTTCTTCTACCCATCCCATTTTCCCTGCACTATTAGCCTTTTTCTTCCTATTTCACGGGGTCAAATATATCATTAGGATCTTACGTACTATTATAGTTTTTCACACCAGAGAAACTACTTGGTATTTACACATGTGTGACTTATTTATTTCAATTAGGAGTATATCCTCAGAGGTTTTAATAAGAACAATTATATTAAATTATGAATATACACATTGTACAAGTTACCCATGGATTAAATGATATGATTTAAAATAATAGGAAGGTTTAGTTGATCAATATTTAAAATAGCCCAAATTGATCTATATAGATTACCTCTACATGACAGGTCTTAGTTCTCATTTTTTCCCCTTGTCCCTGCCCTCCCTTCACCCCCTCCTCCCTTCCCCATCTACAAACACTTTATTTCCATCTTTTCATTAACCCCCCCTTTTTTTCCCCTTATTGCCCTTCCCCTACCCATCTCACCTTCTATACACCTTTAGCCCCTTTATTCCCATTTCACAATGTCAGCAATCTTATTAGGATCTTATGTATTATTGCAATTTATTCACACCAAAGAGACTATTTGCTATTTACACATGTGTGACTTATTTATTTCAATTAGGACTATATCTTCAAGATGTATCCATTTTCCTATGAATGAATCTATTTTCTCATTATTTATGGCTGAATAATATTCCATTTTATAGAAAAACCACATCTTCTTTATCCAGTTTCCAACTGATGGGCAATTGGGCTGCTTCAAAGTTACAGCTATTACAAACTGTGCCACTATAAACATGGGTGTGCATACATCACTGTGTTATGATTCTTTCAGTTCTTTTGGAAAGATACCCAGAAGAGGGATGGCTGGGTCAAATGGAACCGTCAGTCCAAGCTCTTAGAGGTATCTCCATATTGATTTCTACAGTGGTTGCACCAGTCTGCACTCGCACCAACAATGGAGAAGGGTTCCTTTCTCCACATAACCCTGCCAATATTTGTAATTGTGTGATTTCTTCATAGCAGCCATTCTTTGTGGGGTGAGGTGGA